TCCGAGGGTGCTGGGTGCACACTGGCCTGCTATACTGGATTCATAAGCTAATCTTAATAAAAAATTGACAGTAAACATTTTCCTTTATATCATCATCATTAGCTTTTCAATGTCCTCACGACTGGGACATAGGCCTGCCCATAGATGAAACCAAGTAAGGAAAATGTACCGGTATTTCTGTGGATAACGCGTATGTCTTATAGAATAGTCCAGTTGCTCTTTTTTCCATTTTAGTGCGCAGTAGAATCGCGTCTTACTAAAAATATAAATAAATGTTACTTTAATAGTCCTTATTATTAATGTCGTTTAATAATAACGCCGCCATTTTGCTTGGATCTTGGATATTGACTACAGTGCTTATTCTGCACTTTTTATTAAGGCATTCATTTTAAGGGCTTGAAACAGCCTGATGATTTGCTTATGCAATATTCTACTACTACTCCTCACCGCAACTTGACAGTCAGCTTGTTCTTGCTTGTTTTTATTAAAAAATTTCAACGGATATTCTGCCATCTCTTCAATTTATTATTATTTAACTTTGATACTTTGAATTTTAGTTGCTATTTTAGATAAAACTGGAAACAGTTTTATCTTCAGTAGCTCATTTCCAGTGTTTTTTGATTTTGAATCATTAGTAATTAGCGGCAGTTAAGTACATTGTTCGCAAAAGTTTATGTAACGCTCCTCGTTAAAAGTCACCCATATATAATTTTGTCGTTTGATGAGTAATTCTCCATTAAAATATATTATTAAAAAAAATCGGGCAAGCCTAAGTTGGACTCGTACACGAAGGGTCCAGTATCATTCTAAAAATACGAAAAAGTTGGAATGTGTATCTTTGGTAACTTTATCTGACATGACTTACTATTGTCAACATTTTGACAACTCCCAAATGAATCAATCGATAATTTTGACAAAATGTTTTTGAGTATGCTTTTAAAACTAGTGTACAATTCTTCCATTTCATCGTATACATCATTTTTATAATAATCATTCTCCATGAGTTCTTTAGTAGAAATAGCGCTAATAAATTCTTTATGACCATTCGAAAAATCATTCTATAACTTGTCTGTTACTGCAAGTTTCTCCTGTACATATTCTTTAGTCAAACTGTCTTTCGAACTATTTACAAACTTATTATGTAATCTTTTTAACCTTAACAAACAAATCATTTTGCCAATTGACAAGGGATTCTATTGCTTTACTTTCTGTAGTAGACATAGCACTACACGTAGACATTTTATATACTTACTTAAAGAAATAAGCTACTTACTTACATATAAATAAAATTAACATTCGTACTAACAAATTCAAAGAGCAAACAAATAAAGTATTTATACCACTTCACTGTAATGATCGTTGACAACTTTATTATGTATCACCGATTTCACTTACAAATAATTACCGTAAACAAGTTCCTGTTGAACCGCTACAGCACCGATTCCTTCAAGTACCGCTACTTGATCAATTTCCATTTACTATTCTTTAGTTACCGAGCTCCAAGATCTTACTACCAATCAAAACTATCAATCAACATCCATCCGATAGTACAATTGTAGCAGGCATCAAAATGTTACCAACTTATCCTGCTACAGCCTTCGACGAATAGTTCGCCATTATCCGGCTCGAAGGACCATTTTGTTTGTGCTAAATAATGAAATTTCTTTAAATTTCATACAATTTATTTTCCATAGGTTTGCTTTCACAATAGAATTTTTGATAGATGTCAACTGTCAACATTTCTTCTCTTATTATTACAAATAGTCTGAACATTTGTTGTTTCCATAGGGGTTTTTAGAAATTTTCGAATTTAGACGTATATTACTCATAAACTTGTAAAGCTAACTTAAGTGTGATAGTGGTCCTATTTAATTCTTATATATAAATAAACTACCGCCGTGACGTTTAGTTTTCTAACAACAACCGTTTAGTTGGTAGGGGGGTGGATGTTCGACTCTATCGAAAATTCCCACTTTAAACACGAACGGTTAACTAAATCGAAAAATGGTCTTCCTACACCCCTAATTTTTTTGAAAGACTTATCCAACGATACTCCACGTTATGAAAAGATTAAAAAAATCGTCCCCCACTTTACATATAGGGAAAATAACCGAAATTTTTTTTTCAAGACATTAAATAAAAAAAAAAAAAATTTACCTCTTTATCAGCGTGATTTACGTATGTACTCATGCTAAATGATACTTTTTAATAACAATCGTTTTGAGCTAAACCGTGGACCGATGGACATTACGAAAGCTAGCTAGTGATCAGTAGTGTAAGCTAAATGTTACATTTTCGTGTACATAACCAACATAACATATATATATTATTTAAAAAGTTCTTTTGATTCTTCTTCAAAATTCTTCAAAAAGTTATTTAATCCTGCGTAAACAGCTTAAACAATTTAATAAAAATTTTGGAAAAGGACATGGAATAAAACTACAATGATACTATAGCTTTTCTCGATAAAAGGACCATTCAATTTAAGTCCAACTTCAAAACATCGGACTCTGTATTATATATACTAATCAAATAATTTTAAATTCATTTAGGTATTTGGAGATCAGTTATATCGTAATCATGAAAAATACCCTTCATTTTCCAGCTTAAGCCTAATTGGATGAATAAGGATTAGAGGGTGGTCTCTTAATAAATATTATTATAATGACGAAATCCCGAGAACATCTAAATATTGGTGGTTCGGTCCCGAGTCGGCATATTGCGCACGTAATTGAAGCCGCTTCCAGGCTGACGAGTAGAGATGGGCATTAAAGGGGATCACTGGGAGTGATGAAAATGTTTAGAAAAAATATTAAACTAAGTCAAGAGACGCGGACAGATTATAAAATGAGTTGAGACAAGAGTTTTCATAAAGAAGAATATGCAAAGAGTTATATATCGTTAAAATACTCTTTTATATCGTTTTCATTTTAGTTGCCACTTAATATGAATAAGTAGCAAACTCAATCAAACCAAGCAACAAAAGGTGGCAGCTGCCACACACGCATCTACAGGTTGCTTGCAATTAATTTTTAAAAAAGTACGACTGCTTTTATTCGTTTTATTGAATCATTGACGTTTATTCGTGCCCGAAGATTCGTAATAGCGTACAATGAGTAGGACGTTTAACGACGGCCGTCTGATCGTCAATCATTCTATGTTATCGACAATAGTGCCGGTTAAAACAGCGGCGCTGCCGGCTCCATAGAAACAGGTTATTAATGTTGGAAGGTAGAGTTTCGTTTGCGTAACCATTATAAAGTAAAAGGATGGCTTAGCTGCTACATTTGGCTAAAAGATTAATGTGCTCGAGGATTATTTTTAATTAAAATAAAGTGGATAAATATCTTGTAAGAGTTGTATCACAGATATTTTCTTTGTCAATAGCTATTGCTGTTAATCAACACTCTACACGAGCTATAGAAACTAAAGCCCGTTTCTCAATAAATGTTTATTATTTACAAGAAATTGGATCGAATGCTTGGTCTCCAGTAAAATGAAACCTACGACGTAATAGAATCAAACACAACATTAATGACAAAAGTCCTTAAACATAATTGTTTTAATTTAAAAATAAATCATAGCTTATGTCACTCTCCTCCATATCAAGTCGGTGAAAGAATTTAAAAAATCCAGTAGTTTAGGAGCCTATTCTAACGAACATACATATCTTTCCTCCTTATAATATTAGTATAGAATAATAATAATAAAATAATAGCCGTGTTATTTGGTTGCCTGGAAGATATTGCTTTTTAGCGATAAGGCCGCCAATTGTACTGTTTATTGTTATTAATTGTTATGTTGATTTTATTTTCAAGTACAATAAAGTGTTCATTCATTCATTCATTATATATTAAAGATCTGATTACGACGGAGCTTCCGTAATTCATATGTACATTCACTCAGCGAATAATATTACATCTCAATAAACCCCGTCGATGTTTCGAACACTAAAATCTTCTAACTTTATGAGCCTCAGTCAATATCACATGCTATCATATAAAAATTTATGTGAAAGCAGTGAAACTGAGCAGTGTGACGGCTAACGAAACGACATTTATAAGTAGCGGGCTTGTTTGTGCAACCACATTCGCCCTCTCAGAGAAAAATAAATTGGTGTCGATAACACAAAGGTACGCGTTTCTAAAGTTGCTACTTCGAAATTTACTATAAAACTAAAATATATTGGATCGGAGCAATCCATTACAGTGTCCGTGTGACGAATGTTTTTTTTTTCAATAAATAATTCAGGTGAGGATCACGTTGGCGTTTGGTCTGTGGTTGCGGAGATTAGGCTACTTCTTCAAAGGCCATTCATCAGAAATCCTTAAATACGTAGTACATAATTTCTAACCAACGTATCTACTTGGTTTGCAAATAAGAATGATTAAATATTAAATAACATCACATACATTGCTCAGGTTCATGTTGACTAGCTAAAGCCCACATGTTACGGGAGTATCTGAGACAACGAAGGCACCGCAACACCCATATTCTTTTCTAAAAAAGACCTTTTTTACATTGACTCGACCGGGAATTGAGGTCTCCCAGAGAAGGCGACATCTTAGAACCGGCATGCGAACCACTTGACTATCGCTTCAACTTTTCAGTAAAACGTATTGCCTTTTTAACTTTTGCGAGGCGAATTTCCAAAAATCCAATTGAGTTCTCACCTTCACTATCGAAGGAGATACGATGCACAGTCTTAATAGTTTGAGATGTGCTCATTAAGTTAGTAAGTCAGTATTCCTTACATCTTTAGAAAGATAAATACGCCAAAGAAACGAAAGACATGTGCTGTAATCATCTATGGGTTATATAGAACTGGAGCCTTTAGGACACACCACACAGTTATTATAATTTGTGTGTCCAATAAACGATTCATGTTTTGATTCTTTATGCCTGACTTGCTGACGTGAAGATAAAGATCTGATTCTAAGATGAAGTAAGCTGAAATAGTACTTGTATTATCGAAGCTAAAGTATTGTTTTCTTTCTCAGGATCTAGAAATATACGACGCGGTTGTGGACGTGCGATGCTATGAACTAACGGCGTTGTTCCTTTGTTCCCTGTTTGTGCCCAAATGTGGGCCTCTGGGCCACATGGTGAGGCCTTGTAGGAGCCTATGTCAAGGTGAGTTAAGCGTGCATACAAAATATGCGTTGTTCTTGTACCTAATGATTTAGAGTGACCTAAGAGAAAGATATATAAGGAATTTGAAAACCATTTTTGAATGTCTATTTATCATTAATTACTAGCAATAAAATATCTCAATTGTCTGATGTGTCACACACACACACATTCATATATTAGTGTTATTACTTGACACTTAAACTACATATAAACCTATATAAATTACTAAACATAAACGCGAATTCGTGTCAATTAAAGTTCAACTTAATGTTTTTAAAACTAAAATTAAATATCCAAGTAGCTAAATAGTCGTCTTAACAATGAATAGAGTGTTCGTTAAACTATGAAACTATTCCAATTAATCTTGATTCAAATCTTAGCTCTAAACTATTACATTTTTTTAAATATTAAGTCATCTATTAGGTTACAGAACCCAATTATTACTGGTAAAGTCCTATTGCCTAACTTAATCAAAAGTCCAATTCGATTACAGGTAATTAGTTTGGACTTTAGAAGTAGTAACTCATTAACTTTACTAGTACCCTTCAAAAGTTTTGCTGTCCTCGGCAAGGTCATATAAGATAATTAACTAGAGGTAATGTTGCTAACCAGAAACGATGCGTCGATGTGGATTCTTCTTGGAAGTGTTCGGGTTGTCTATGCCAGACTATCTACAGTGTGAGATATTCCCGGAGTCCACTGACACTGACGTCTGCCTTGGTAACAGGGAGGTAAAGGAGGCCAGGCTGCGAGCTGCCAAACCAGGTGAGTTGGATATTGGAACAGATCATGATCGTTATTTTGATAACGTTTGCATTAAACATGCTATGTGTAGGTTTTTTAAGATAATGATATGAAGAGCTTTGAAATTATATAGTTGACGAAGTGTTATAATTTCGTAATTACAAGTAATAAATAGTTAATTAAGAGTTTTCAATCTTTATAATATGAAGTAAAATATTTTATCTTATCATTCTATTTGATCAATTTTCCACTCACAATGCTATACTCAAAAATATTCTTAATGACACATGCTTAAAAAACCCACTTTGTCTCTGGTATTCTGAGATGGACTCGAACCCACGACGCAATCCGAGCGACTGCTCCTAACTTTTGAGCCACCCAGGACCTCAACAGGACTGACTAATTTTCAAGCACTTGTTTCTTTTTCGCTACTACAGAGCGTATTTTCATCAATGTTCAGGCAATCCACCCAAACAGCCGAAAGAAATATTTTTTAAACATTTTTCATTATGAAATTGTCCATAAACAAATATTTTTTATTCAATAATGTCAGGCTGCGAGTCGAAATATACGTTCTGTGTACAAAAATAAATTCTGTATACCAGAAACAAGATTGACAATGGTATTTAACAACACAATTAAATTAACAACAAGATCTGTTTTTGGCTACTTTGTTTTTCTGCACAATAAAGTACTTACTAACTAGAATATTTTATCTTTCTTGTAAAAACGAATAATTAAGACCACTTTTCTCAAAGCTCCTTGCCTAGCGAGAAAATTGTCTCGAAGAAATTGATGTGTCACTGATGATGTATCCAAGTTTACTTGTACAGTGTGTCCCACCGGGTTCCAATGTGACGTGAAGCGGTGCATCCCCCACGACTGGCGATGTGACGGGCACGTGGACTGTGCCGACCGGTCCGACGAGCTGAACTGTCGCGTGTGCAAGCGCAGCGGCGACGTCCACTGCGGGAACCACCAGTGCATATCGCAGACTCACATGTGCGACGGACATGTCGACTGTCCCTGGGGTCAGGACGAGAGGAATTGCTGTGAGTTTCGAATTCGGGAAATTTTTATTTACTTAAAGACAAAACTGCCTTATTATATAAAATGTTATAATCACCCAAGAGTCTGGTTCCTATTGACAGCTTACAAAAAATGTATTATCATCAGCTTGCAAAAAATATATTTTAATATTAAGTGATATATTATGTCAATACTTGTCAATGATATGAAATTGGAAACAGGGCAAATTAAAGTAAAAGGAAGATTTGATATGTATAAAATCTTCATGACATACAGAAAGTTTCGTGTCACCGCATCTTGGATTGATATTGTAACTATCCCTTGATTAGTGAGACTAAGCGAGGCAAACGGGGATGTGGGTCAAGGAGAACTGCAGGTGTACCGAGCGGTTAACCAGTCCTGGTATCCTGCCTGTCTGTCCAACCTGGATGACACTACGGCCCTCAAGCTCTGTTCCATGCTGGGATACTCGTAAGTTTTCTAGTATTATTGATATACAAATTTAGTCTCATTTTTGTGCATTATCAAAGAGTTGAGTTCGGATTATTCTAGAATATACTTGCTAATCCAGCTTCAAAAGACGAATCATGACGAGATCTAATGAAACTGAATTTTGAACGATAAACTTGAAAAAAATTTAGATGAAATTAAAATGAAGCTGATAAACGTGATTTTATGTAATATGATTGTGGGTGGTGGAAGTAATCTTATTTGTTATAAATAGATGGGTCAACAGTAGTGAAGTGATCCACCCTGGCAAGAAGGCGGGCCCGCGGGCGGGTCGCGTCCAAATACAGGGGGTGGCACAATCTTATCGCACATTCTTAAGGAACGAGGGAGGGCTGCTGAGAGAGCTCAAGGATTGCAGACATGACTCCGCCAGGGTGCACCTCATATGCAACAATTATGGTGAGTCCATACAATAGAATAACACATTGTCAACGGATATACAAATATTTTGGTACGTGGATATTCGGTGGTCTCCAACGATGACCCGTGGATGGAGAGGACTAAAAAATCCAGTGTTTATGTTGATTCAATGTTATTAAGAATACCAAAACTATCTATCCGAAAAAAATCCAAGGAAAATTAAACCATTTCGCAATAATACTAATCCTCTATTATTTCTCTTATAGTTTGTTGAGAACGTTTGTTATTTAATTTTTTTTCTGAAGTACAAAGTACAGTCAATATTTGTGACGGGTTCGATGATCAGGCAAATGAATAAAAGGCTGACTAAGCTTGAGAACTTGATTTAATTATTGGTAACAAAAAAACCCTTCGGGTTTTGTGAGTAATTTTAACACTATTAACAATAAATTACTATTGGTTGAAAATAAGGTTTCTAACTCGACGCATTTTCACGAACTGACATTCCTAAAGAGCATATTAGATTGCTCAAAATTTCAAATTACGTAAGGTGAACAATAAAAATAAATGATGTTGAAGTTCAAAGACAAAAAGTTAGCATGCGGACACCTAGGACGAAATAAACGGTGGTACCACGCACCGTTACAAGGTTATTAAACATATCTGACACATTTCCGTAGTGTCCAAGATCGATATTAATGAAATTTAATAATTAGTGTATGAAATCCAGTTTTTATCTGTAGAATTCTTTTCAGACTTTGGCGTATTAAGAGCCTGAAATGAAAATGAAAATGAAATATGATGTATGTAACACTCGAGGCTATTTGTTATGTATATTGATATTTATTTAAAAATGGATTGTTGTGTTTGAAAACAGAGTTTATATAAGCTTGTAAAGAACCGACAACAATACTGTCTGGTTGTGTAATGATGACGGTCGTAACTAAATCCCTCCACGTGATCCGCTTTTGTATAGGATTTTGTGTACTTTTTTTTATTCAGGCTTCTACGTTAAAGTATTTACATCTGTATGCTTGTTAAAAGAAAATTATTTATATGAGTAGTATATAAATATAACTTTATACAGAGTGGGTTAGTTTGATTGTTACTGAATAGAGATTTGTCACTCGTTTGGGTCGTTATGTTGGATAAGTTTGAGTTCACTCATTCGTTTAATATTTTTCGTTGAAATATCACCGTTAAACTTTGAAGTAGGTATTGTTAGCGACGAGCTCATTTAACGGTACCTTAATAAATAATTATAAAATATATATGTAGGTAAACTTAATCGAACGCCCGTTGAGGGCGCAAAGTGTGGCGCATTCAGTCTGCATGCATTAACATTAAGTGATAGGCATATTTCTGTAACGCTGCTTATATCAATAAATCAAGTTGTAGACAATTTTTATTATTGCTTCACAAAAAGTAGACTTGTGTACTGTGTTTATATTTACTTACTTTCGATTTTGGGTCTATTTCATTTTCATCCGTTTCTAAAGATAGAAAAATGAAGTGAAGGAGACATGGTGTATTCATACAGTTGTTTATTAGCTCGTTCTACGCAAATTCACCCAATTAAATGATGAGCCTATGTCACCCACGTATCATGTAGTTTCCCGTAAGTATATGTTTATAATCGGGAATGACGTTAGGAGTCTGTTCAATGCAAACAAACAAACAATCTGTCCACATATATTGATTTATTTTATTAACTACATTCTGCTTTACCACTCTCCTTTAACTAAAAAAATGCCTATGCTTAAAGACTCATGACATGCCGTGCATTAGCTCAATCTCCCTACTCAATTAGATTGTGGACAACTAATATGTAGGCTGATGATGACCTACAAAACACGCAACAGCTAGTGTCGATACTATCAATAGTTAGATCGATCACGCGAATTTCACTTTGTAAAATAATGATATGTTTGAATTATTATATTTAGCTTCGCTGCTGGCGCCTTCTAGTGTCTCATTGAGGTACTACCTATATGGTCTAAAAGACAAATAAATATCGAAGTTCCTGAACTTACCAAATAACACCCCTACTATTCCATCACAATCACATTTACGCACCTAATTAATATACCTGTTTATACATTATATACCTATACGTGAGTCATCAATGAGCCGTGACTCTGAATACCGGTCGAGTATGATCCGGGGATATCCGAGGGATTGGTGCGGTCGATCCGAGCCTGTTCACGGCACTCGATCATCAGTCATTCCTATAACTCAACAATATCGCTTACTTTATTATCTATATTCGTTAAAGCGATAGTCCATAAACATTTTTTGCTCCAAATTTTCATTTGCTCCAAAATCGAATCAAAAAGGTTTCGTGAGCTTTAAATGTAACACAAAGTCACATTAATCCATGTTTGTCGAGTTGATCGTGTTTAAAATAAAATAACCAACTACCTACCTTAATAAATTATTATAATCAAGTTGTTTCGATATATGACGTCTGTATCAAGAATATAAATTGAGCTGAAAAGCGAGTCTTAAATTTTATTGATAAAAACAATACAAAGTTACCTTTTAAATTCAACTAAATTCGTTATGTAAATACGTTCAGAACATTTTTAAAGAGCAAGATTTCAATTTTACTATCAAAAACCATTTAAAGAAATCTAAAGAAGACATCTGATGACAGAATTATGGTAATCTTGAAGAAAAAATTCAAATGTATACTCAAAAAAGTTAATACTCAGAAAGTAGGTCCAACATAAACATAAGAATACTCGGCCCAAGCCGTGTGTGAAACAACTTTATAAGGTGGCACTGTGTGTTGCAAAAGTCAACTATATTCACTAAGTACGAGCGCTCATAATGTCTTGGCTGTCGATTGGAGACCCGCAGGTGGCATTGCGGCCATTTTCCTAATGGGTACCCGCCCTCGAATCAAATCCGACTAACGTTTGCGGCTGGGTTTCAAGTCGTTTCACTTGCCCCATGTAGGGATCACGTAGACCTAATGCACTAATGGAAAATGTTCATCTAGTGATCAAAAATGAAGTTACAATTAGTGCAATTTGTCTTTGGAGAAGCGACGCCAGCGCCACTTCCATGGCTAAAAATTTATATTCTTATGGTGCAGAAATGTGTGCATATTATGAAGGATATAAGTTTTGTCTTACCTATTTTTACGGTAATACTTCCGGTTTCAGAGAAAAATGGGAAAACCGGAATTTACGACTTATGAATCTTGAATAAAATTTTTTGCACACATGGGATCGATGGGGACTTTTGACATTTCATTGACTTATTCAACGTCGATAGCAATTTTCAGCTCTATTTACAGTTTTTTTGTGTCTATTTTGACTGGATTAATAGGTATACAGGTACAGAGAAAGCAACTTTGTTTTATACTTTGTAGTTATAAGCGCCATCAGCTACGTCAATAAATTTAACAGATGGCATATCAAGGGGTAGGTTCCGATCTTGCTTGAAATATATAGATAGATGATAGTTTCAAAACATTTAAAAAATATTTTTTGAATAATAAATTATTTCACGACTTTAAGTGATATTGAATTGTTATATAGGTAAGTAGGTAACATTAAAAAATATATGTCAACATAGTGAATCTTAGGAAATGCGATTTTGTTTATTTGGTCGGCATATTTTTTTCTAATACATCTATACTAATATAATAAAAAGGAATGAAAATATCTTTAGTTTGTTTGTATTAAAAAGGCTCCGGTAGAACTGGATCGATTTAAAAAAGAAATCACCCACGGGCAGTTACATAAAACGCCCCCATGTCTACATTTTTAACGTGGGCGAAGTAGCAAAAAATAGCTAGTTCGACAGAAATGAATTCACAATTCACGAATAAATAGGGGAACATGTATACTTACATAAAAAACAAAAATCGGTTTATTCCACTGTGACAACATGGGTGTTCAAATACCAAATTCCTTCTTTCGGCTTTCGAATGAATGCAAATTAAACTATCCTTCCTTTTTCTCGTTTATATTTGATGTAATGTGCCAGGGAAGGGACCCGAGTGTAGGTTCTTCAAATAAACACTTCAATACAAATGTAACTTTTTATTTCGAATTTAATCACAATCATTAGTAAGTGTCAAGCCCCATGTGTCATACACCCTTGCGTGTCCATAGACAATAATACTATAGACTACAAAACATGTTCCATTGCACTTATTTGGTTATTAAACTCTACACCGGGTATCTTAATGTTATGAGTTCTAATCCCACTAGAGTTCGCTTTTTTTCAAGTTGTTCTTTTTATTATTTATTCTAATTTTCAATTTTATTCTGCCATAATTTTAAAAAGCAACTTTTTTTATTTTATTTGATTTATAAGCAATATAAAATGTGATAATATATATTTCTTTAGTATTGCGTAGGCTAAAGTCAGAGTGATATTTTCACACAAAAGCCCTTTGATGATGAAAGAGTTCCAATAAAATACATGTTCGTGTAAACATGTGTCGTCTAAATATTTTGGTGTTATTTGGTGAAAAACATTTTTTTTGTTATAAAAACAACAACTCGGGCCTACAAACTGTCGAATAAAAATTAAAAAAAAAACTGTTAAATGACAAATTTTTAAAATTTTGGAAAAATCGGTGAACATGCTAAAAAAAACATACATCGCCGTCGAACATATAACCTCCTTAATTTCAATTATGAACTCTGTCAAAAAGCAGTTTGTCTTTAGTAAAGTTAAATTAAGTGTAATTTGTGCCATTGCCACGGTTATCTGGAATTATAAGCCGCCGTATATTAGAATAGACAATAGTACTCAAATAATCGAACTGTAATACTATTATATTGATTTAATCAAACGGTCGTTTAGCAAGTTGAAACATTTCAATTACATCGATAGTTATACAAACTACTCTGAAATATGATATACCTACAGCTTCTATCGATTTTCCCGCGGGAACCAACATTTATCCTGCGACAAACAATTTGCCATAAACTGTCCAAGGACTTGAAATATTACTGTACCAAGTTCCAAAGCCCGCAGACAATTTCTGAGTTCATCGTAAAGTACAATAAATAAGA